CATGGATGATCTTGGAAGTCCTGTCTTTACAACTGACTGAAAAGAACCCATTGTGTTTAAGGTACCGAGGCTATATAGGCATTTACAGATGACTGCAAGTTTCAGAAGCACAGAAAAAAAAGACATCTGAGCACTAAGACCTGAGTTAGAGTCTAGTGAGATATTCAAAAGCTCTTAGATGCTGTGTTTTAGAAAAACATAATCCAGACTCCACTTCCACATGAATCTCTGCAGCTCATAAATCAGTCACAAAGGATTTTGAAGAAAGAATAGAAAGCTATATGTTTTTCAGAGTGACTAGGCAAATGTGTAGCAAGTGAGCCCTTATTTTCAAAAAGTCATAAACAAGTTTTTTCAGTGCAATTAAAGAAAAGTAGCTCTCACAAAAAATTACTCTTATCCATCTCACAAACTTGAAGCATTATTGAACTTTAAAGTTACTGCAAAGAAATCATTAATTTCAACATTTATCAATGAATGGGAATAATCCCAAAGTATTTTCATTGACAGCATTCATTTTTAATAGGAAGTACTCAAGGATGAAAAATAAAAATACATGCTAATTGCTAAGAAATCTTAGTTGTTTTAACCATGCTGCCATATTTACATCAGTAATATGTGACAGGAGTGCTCTGAAAATAATGCCTCCTGCTTTATTATGTTGGTCAATAACATCAAAGGCAGATGTTGTTGTTGGAGCTCTTCAGCCTGGAGAACAGAAGGCTCCAAGGAGACCTTATAGTGGCCTTCCAGTATCTGAAGGTGGCCTACAGGAAAGCTGGCATGGACTTTTTAGAAGAGCATGTAGTGACATGGGAAATGCTTTTAAACTGGAAGAGGGTAGATTTAGGCTAGATATTAGGATGAAATTCTTTACTGTGAGGGCGATGAGACACTGGAACAGGTTGCCCAGTGACACTGCAAATGTCACCTCCTTGGAAGCATTCAAGGCCAGGATTTTGAGCAACATGGTCTAGAGGGAGGTGTCCTTGCCTATAGCAGAGGATGGGGACTAGATTATGTTAAATTTCCCGTCCAACCCAAACTAATCTGGGATTCTATGATTCTATGTTGGTGGCATGGTGGTACAGGTGAAACCATCCCACCAATGTGGGAACATATTTTGCTATCATGCAACAGCAGCAGAGGGACACTCTGATAAAATGGCATCTGATATGGAAGAGTGTATGAAGCAAAGTTGTATCACGGAATTCCTTCATGTGGAAAACAATTGCACTCATTGACATTCATCAATGCTTGTTGAATGCTTATGCTTATAGAGACCAAAGAGTAGAGAGTGAGCAGGTTGAGATGATGGGAATTTCAGCACTGGTGAAAATGATGTGAAAAACAAGCCATTTTCTGATTGGCCATGCAGATTTTTATGATCATGACATGCAAACTATTGTTCATTATTGGTAAAAATTTTTAGTCAGTGGTAGTGACGTTGAAAAACAGTGTTTTGTATCTGAGAATGTGTTCTATTAAATGTTGTTTTTGTGCTCTTTGTATTGTTGTAGTTTCCATGAAAATATATACCAGACCTACTTTTGGAGCAACTGACATTTGTAGTAGTTTCTTATAAACTGACATTAAAGTACAAAGAGCCCCCAGTTGTGAAGCCCTCACTCATTTATGTGTCTGAACAGAATTGTACTTCTAGGGGTGGGAATCTCTTATGCTTTATTTCTGTTGAAGATCTGGAAGTGAGAAATCAGGCAATACAGGTATTTATCAAAAAATGCTTTGTACAGGACTGCTAGCTGAGAGGACAACTGGTTTGCTAAAATCCCACTGTCTAGGAACTAGCAGCTTTACAAATTTTATGAGAATAAATCTTTATTACTCTCTGGCTATCCCAAGGCAGAAACTTACTGATTGAGCTGTGGGTGTGAGATGATACATCTGAAATACCAAAAATGTTTAAAACCTTCTCATTTTTGCTCTTAACTCCCTTCTCCATTCAGATTTGTACAGTGGAATGCATTTTTTTCTACCACTTCTCTTTTCATTGTTGCAATAATGCCAAGTTCACAATATTCCAAGTAGCTGTGCATACACAAAAATGGCTGCTTTTTAATCAGTGATACTTTGCACTTAGTGGATGGTATGATATTTTGTTAGCTTTAACTCCTAAAAGTAGTATCCATTTATAAATTTAAGCAAGTCTAACACTGGCATTTACCAGTGAGGCTAATACTTCACATTCAGTGAGAAGTCAGAGTATTTTGAGTCAACAAATCTCTCCCCTTGACATCTCTGTACAATCCCACAATTTGACCCAAAATTCATATAGCAACTGTTTCTGAAGCCAGGTTTTGGACCATCCATCCTTTTGAGATAGACTTTTGCAAGACTTTGAAGAAGATGATGCCTCAGAACATGAGGCAAGGGACAGAGGAGAACGTTTGGCTCTAATAATATTCACAGTGGTCTATCAGAAAAAATCTTGGTTGAACATATCTGGAAGTTCTGGCACTACCCCGGTGTGATACCTCCTGCAAAGAGACTTCTCTGTGGTGCTCAATGACTTTATCTGAAGTACCACTCTGTTTCACCATAATTATTCTTCAGTCAGTAATTGGAAAACAATAAAAAACAACAGCAACAAAAACATATTAAAACAAATTCTGAAGATAAAACATCTCCTCAGATATACAAAAGATATATTTCAATAAGAAAATCTAAAAGGAATGACATTGGAAACTATGATATAGCTGGAACTTGAGATAATAGTGATGTCTAATGAACAAAATCACAAAAAGATAATAGTTCTTCATCAGATAGAAGAGCTTTGATAAAATCCTAGAACAGATTTAGTGCTGTTATGCTATTGGAGATGAGCCCATACTGGTATCTCTTCTTGAGTTTACTTGAGCACAGTTTTGTCTTAGTGTGTCTGTATGACTTACTAGTAATAATTTTTTTAGAGTAGTATAATCTTTTGTCTGCAGGCAGTTGATCATCTAAGATGACCCCTGATTTCACTCCTTATAAGCCATAGCTCTCTGATCTTCAATTTACACATTTTCCTAATGTAAACCAATTTGGGTGAAATTAAAAAGTCCAAAAAAATGAGACCAACTTTTCTTTTACTGAATGATACTAAAGTACTATACATATGAAATGGAAGACTCAGGCAGTAAAGTATGATGCTAGACTAAAAAGCAGTCAGAGAATTCATTGCAGTAATATGTCATTGGTGGTAATTTTGCCATAAAATGTGTTTATTTTCAGTTTGTAGCTCTTAATAAAATAATTCCTGTTCAGGGAATTTACCTACAAAAGTTATTTTTTTCTATATGCAGCAAATCCGTCTAGTTATCCAGTTACTCCTGGGAAAACCAGTTACAGGCGAAATGTAATGATATGTTTGTAAAAACAAAGACTGATCCTTTTTTTTCTACAATATAAGTCATTAATGACATTTTAATTATATAATTCCTTCTTAGACTCCTAAATTCAGTGCTGTTTCTATATTTCCCGAGGAAATCGTTATGATACTTCTGAAAAAACTTAATATATTTACTCCATGATCACCCAAAATATGTCTGAAAATTCTGAGTTCTAATACATGAACTTCTGCATAAAATAGATATGGAAATAATATGAAAATTGCACAGCTGGATAACAGTGACAAAATACATATTTTGACTGTGAATAAATTTTTCCCCCCATGGGAGGTTCAGGAATAGCTGTTTCATTTAAAAACAGTAGAATGAAGGTACCAGATGCTGTACAGGTGGTTTTACTAAAAGCTTTAACATAAACAATGAGATCTTCAAGTTCTGGATGCCAGATTTCCATGAAAGGGGCAAACTGCCGTTCACAACTGAAAAGCATAAAGTGAGTCTTTATGAGAGAAGCATTCTCTAGGAATAGCAGAAGGGAAGTTCTGAGACAGGATAGCATTGACTGAGATTCAACTGGCTTCTAAAAAGTGTAGTTCTACTTCTTACACATTACCAAAATGTCTGATCTACAAACCCTGGGTCTTGGAGACTCAAAACTACTTTTACCATAGACTAGAATAACACTGAAATGAATTATGTATCTTACCATGAGGCCAGGCTCTTCTTGGTGGTGCACAGTGATAGGACAAGGAATAATGGCCTAAAACTTGAAAAGAGAATGTTCCATACTAATGTGGAAGAACTTCCCTATGGTAAGGGTGCCAGAGCACTGGAACAGTTTGCCCAGAGAAGTACTGGAGTTTCCTTCTATGGAGATATTCAAGACTCCTCTGGACACCTATCTGAGAGATACTGTAGGGAACCTGGTTTGGCAGGGGGGTTGGAGTCAATGATCTCTTGAGGTCCCTTCCAACCCCTGCAATTCTGTGATTCTGTGAATAGCAAGTATAAAACAGGTAGGTTTTTTTTTGGTTGTTTTTTTGTTTGTTTGTTTTTGTTTGGTTTGGTTAGGTTGATGGGTTTTCTGTTTGTTTTTAAGAAAAAAACTCTGAATCTGTATGTTGGAGTTAACAGAACAAGATAGAAAAGGTGTTCTTCATGTCCTCTTTTCTCACTTGACTTTTACAAACAAAATGGTACTATGAACCATCAAATTAATGTTTTCAGAGAGTTTTCTCTTGTGCCTCCCTCTGGAGGCTATGTTAAGGCACATGCAAGATAAGGAAGTGATCCAAGACAGCCAGTATGGCTTCACTAAGATAGATCATGCCTCTGGTGGCCTTCATTGGTGGAGTGATGGCATTGGCGGACAAAAGAAGGACAATCCTGCACCACATCTTTATCTCTAAATTGGAGAGTTATGGATTTGGAGACTGGACTGTTTGGTTTATTAGAAATTGGTTGGATGGTCACATAAATTCTTTTTCATCCTGAGATCCAGAAGGAGCTTTCTGTTCAGGCAGGATGATTTCCTTTCTCACTGACCTGTCATTTGGCACATAGATATGTGCCCTTCAAAATTTCATTCTTGAAGAACCTTCAACTTTCCTGGACTTCTCTGCCCTTTAGAACTTTGAACAAAATTTTTAGGTGAGAGCATGAATATAGTCTCCTACTACCACAAAGTATGTTGTAGAGTTTCATGCCTTTCGGGAAATCGAAAGTGTCAGCACACCTGGAGTTCAGGAGATAAGCCTCACATTGGTAAAACCAGCTGCGTTATTGTGGTGTCTCCCAAGCCACGTAAGTATGAAAAAACAATGAATGGACATCCAGCCATAAGATTACATAGGCCATGCTTTTGTAGGAATTCAAAATGAAAGCAGGTTCACATGAATGAAATACCAAGCATACATTGAAAGTAGAATATCTATTTAGTAACATACTTTAGTACAGCCTTCATAATACTGAGGAGTCATATCTACATGCATTATTCCAAGTACAGTCTGATCGATGTCATAAACTGAAGGACTATCTTTTTTTCTGGTCTATAATGATTAGGAACGCAGTTTCCAAGATTGCACAGATTTTAATGGAGCTGTATATCTTGCAAACATATCCCTGATTTTATGTCTATTAATGCTCCAGAGATTTCATCAATGTTTCTACCTCTTATAGGTTTTTTCCTTAGACCATAATATGCTCTTCCAAAAAATATAATCTCACTTTATTTTTTTCACTCAGACTGAATCAGTCTTTAGTGTTCCTCCTAAAGGTAATCACTGAAGAAGCCTTAGATTTTTTAGCATATGAAGTTGAATGAACATGGGTTAAAATATAAGCTATATCTGGATGTAACACATTGCTTAATACAAAGCAATCAAAGTTAACATTCAAATGAGATTTTGTGAAGCTTTTTATAAATCACCATCAATAATGTTCAGTTATATAATATCTGCTTCATTCCTTTAATCCCCTACTATTTAACTTTGTCTTGTGTTCAGGAGTGCTTATATGATACACTGAAATGGCCACTCTACCCTTGAGAAACCAATGAAGCTAATATGAAAAGAAGCACAGTAGTCAACAAATAAGTAAATTATGAGGTAAGTTACTACATTGTTTGGATGAGAAAGAATGTTAGATGAAACCTCTCAAGTGGAGAAACATTCTACACATGCTGTTTGTTGTAGAAATGAAAACACATTTCAAGTCTCTGCAATATTCTATATTAATCATACAGAATATGCAAACAGAGAGAAGCTCTGTGTATTTCTCCATTGCCTTTTACATGAACTACTTGTTTTCAGATAATTGGCAGCTGAAGCTTTCTCTAAGACTCCACATACATGTTGATATTTTTTCATGGAAAGACTGGGAATTAAGTATTCTCTACTTCTTCACACTTGCTATGTCCTATTGATGTATTAAGTATATTTTATAGTTTCTTAGAAGGTTAAAGTCTGCTTAAATGTTGACTTCTGTTTAAGACAACTTTTATTGTGCAATCAGATGTTCACATCAATACACAAACCATAGTGATCCAAATTTCATCCATCCAAAATTATGATGGCTTGTTCATAAAAAAAAAGGCAATTTTATTTAAAAGATGTGCTACACTGGAAAATTAAAAAACTAAAAACTGATGTAGAAAATAAGTTATCCTGGAGCTCTAACCTGCCTGTGAAACTTTGCAATATAAGCAAAGCAATGTTTTATGCCCATAACATCTGGTATGGTACCAATGAAGACATTCCATAGGAGCATTATCTATTAAACAAACTCCTGTGTAAAAGCACAGAACGTCATGCAAAGACATTCGGGATGTTTTAATTTTGTTTTCAAGAGAAAAGTTACTGGCTTTCAACATCTCCTTTCACTCTGATGCTTAATACAGTAAATGCATTGAATGGTATCAGTGTTAACACAGCTATGATAGCAGAAGAAAGAGCTGCAATTCCCTGACTTTCATGTTTTGTGATATATTTCTATGATATCTTGTTTTTTAAAACAATGATGTGTTAGTCATTATTTCCCATCTGCTATTATTCATTATCTTATTAAAATGTACAATCACCATATTAGAGAGAAGAAATAATAAATAAAAAATGCATATGGGAATCAGAATTCAAATCTGATTGATTAATATATAATGAAGAAAAAAAAGACATTCTAAAAGCACAACGCCAGTTTAGGAACTTTCAATCAATTATAGTTTTTTTTTTTTTTTTCCTCAGAAATTCTCCATTTCATCAAACCACAATTCAGGTTTCACTAATCTGATAACTAGAATAAAACAATACGGATAATTTAGCAAACTCCATGTAGCACAGAATATAAATAACAGAATGGTACATAGTATTATTCATAAATTCTCAGAAAAGTTCTGAAATATTTGCATTTTTTGGGAGGGGAGGAATTACAGCACTTATTTTTAAAGTGTTATGTCCCTCTGAACCTTCACATTAGCATAGATCAAACCTCTGCAGTGGCCGTTTTACTCCTTTGTGCAGATTGTTATTTGTACTGGACTTTCCTCAGATTTAATTGTTTATTAATCATATTGTGTGATGAGGACAAAAGGGAATGTAATTAGCAAAATATCTTATGCATTAAATGCCAATACCTTCTGCAACTGTGTAATAAACTAAAATTGCTGGGAAAACATTTCTAGCATGTTTCCAGAATGCAAGCTTCTTAACAACTTGTCAATTAAATATTTAGGTCACTACAAAAGTAATGCTGTTGTCACTGCTGAAACACATCATCTGCTGCCTCACTGTACTCACAGCCACTGTTTGGTCTCCATGAATGTTCAGCAAGCATTGATGAATGTCAGTGGGTACCATTTTTTCAGCATGGAGAAATTCAGTGACACACCTTTGCTTCAGGCTCACTTCCTTGCCACACTGCCCCCCTGCTGCCATCTGTTGCATGACAACAAAATGTGATGGAATATTGGTGGGAAAGTTCAATCTGTACTGCCATATCACCAGCATCTGCATCTGACATTGTAGGCAAACAGAATAAGATAGGAGGCATTGCTTTTGAAGCGGCCTTCTTACTATATCATTGAACTGAGAAAATCTGCAGACTAAAACACTCCTAGCTGAAAGCTCTTTCAATGGAAAATTTAACAATTTTCTTTGTTTTTAAATGCTAAAAGCAAGACCAGCACTTCAAGGAGAATTTGGAACAGGCAATCAATAATTAAAGAGAAAACTTTATTTCAGATTAGTATACTTTTAAACTGAGTATATGCAACTTTGTTAAAACAAAAACAAAAACAAAAACATTTTCTGACTGCATTTGTTTTGAGTATATTAGAATATTTCATATACTAGAGTATTAAATATATTAGAGAACTTCATTTTGGAACTTATCCTTTTATTCTGACATTCTTAGTTAAGAGGTGGCCTAAACAGCTGAGATGACTTTTGTAACCTCAGAGGCAGATCTTAGAAATATCATGAAATTGAGTGAAATGAATTTAAGTACGTATTTTTCCAACCAAACTCTTTACAGGCTTATAGCATCTCAAAATGTCAGATACGAAAAGATGATCATCAGTGTCAGATATTATCTATATATGCAGAATAGATGCTCAAAGCCTGGAGCACAAGGTCATGTGAAACCTATTTGGAATCTTTAGCAGAGCCTTGCACTTTCAGCCACAGAGCATCTACTCACTCATGCTTCCTCCTTGAGGTCAAGTCAGGACTGCATTTTTTTGGAAATGTTGCATTCTAGACCTTAACTTTTTCACTGTCAGTCAGTGAGAGAGAAAGTAAGTCAGAGACTTACAGAACCAGTAATTTTTTACAGTAAGAATCATGTAGGACACAACTTTGCTAACTGTCTAGCATTTTTGCAATTTTGTTCACACAATTCTACTCTAATTCTCTGATTAAGAGCAGTGATAGGGTTGGAAAGCTTTGCAAGTCTCAGTGTAGTTCCCATTATGTATAACAGACATTCCAATATTTCCACAGTAGTATCTCTTAAGGTTGCTATTCAGTAATGAATACATATGCTTAGAAATATTTACACAAGGCTAAATTATTATATCTGTCCAAAAGATTGGTATTTCTTAAGGTGGGAAACCAAAGAAATTTTGCTCTTGATTTAGATAATGTGATCTAAGCTTCCTGTTCCATCATTTTTGCAACCAAATCAAGAAACAGAAGTAACTGTGAAAGTAGATTTTATGACAGTCATTTGTCTGTCACTGAGAAAAAGAGGGGAGCTCTAAACTTATCTATTATAGAAACATCTTTAGTTTATAATCAAATAGGAAAATCTTCTTATATTCCTGACTCAAATGTCAGTTGGTATCTGAACACAGGGGAAAATAGCCTTCTGCTTCCCATTGTGTCCTCTGTGACAGGACTGATCAGAGTGAGCTATGTGGGCTGAGATCTATTTCTAGCCTCTCTCACTTATAGAAAGATTGAATCAGGGCTAGCAGGGACCCATGGTCATTTTGTCCATACAAAATTGCATTCTCTAGGCCTAGAATCAACTCTGGAAATATGCATTTAAATGGTGTCAATCATAATCTATAATACTAGAGAAATATAACATTTTGAATTTAGAAAGCGAAGAACTCTGACTCTTAAATGTCACATTAGTCTGAGAACTTTTAATATAAAAAAAAGGATTGAAATTGTAGGTGGCAGTTGCTTATCCTGTACTATATTAAACAATTTTCTTTTGTGTTTTCTTGGCTAGTTAAAGTTTTTCCTGTGTTTAGTAGTCTATATTTGGTAGAACAACATCCTTTTGGAGCAAAAATAAGTATCTCAAATGAATATGTTCACTGCTATTTTTATACAGGTGTTTATCTATATTTTTTATCTAGAATATATTTTATACAGGTGTCTATCTGAATCTGTAGTATAATATCTAAATTTGTAGACTACATTCAACTTCATTAAGAAATTTCCATGGAGCAAATGAAACCATCGTACTGTAGGCAGAAATAGACAGTACCTGAAGGAAAGCATTTGAGAGACAGAAATGCATTTTTCACTAGGACTAACTTACCTCCTTTAAAGAATATACCTTTATAGCAGTGTTATACACAAAATCTTAATACTTTTCAAAAGTGAAAGAAAAATGCATAAAAATATTATGAATATCAACTTTATTAAACAAATTAAATAGAGAAGGCGAACCCAAGTAAATACTGTCAGACTAACTTCAGCACTTTGAAGTATTATTGAGCAAATCCTCTTACAAGATGTTTCTGCACACGAAGAGACAAGAAGCTAACATGAGATAGTCAACACGGGTTTAATGGGGGCAAATC